AGTTAGTAGTAGAGATCGATATATATATATATATATGTGTGTGTGTGTGTGTGTGTGTGTGTGTGTGTGTGTGTGTGTGTGTGTGTGTGTATGTATGTATGTATGTATGTATATATAACTAGAAGCGTCAGTTACGACAGACTGGTCATGGTGGCCCTCAGTACTGTCCATCGCTTCACCAGGCACACCTTCTCCGTCTCATACTGCAGACTCGACAGGATCGCATCCGCCATATGTACCGACTTTGGGAATGTATGCATCAGTGTAAGCTCCTTATCTATATTTATGTACTCCAGCACGCTCACAGCCGTCTGTTTGTTGGTCACCCGATAGAGACTAATGAACTCTCCACTTTTGCACCGGCCCTTCTGCCAGCGCTTAGCCAGCTGTATCTCGCCCGCGAACCAATGATCAAAGTTAGAGTACAACTGGTGGAAGTCGTATATGTGATCGTGCTCGGCCGAATCGAACACCTTCTGTCGCTTGTTATTAGTACCGTTAGTGATACGGTTACTATTGGCTTTCGAGTTACTACTCACCTGGGGTAAAGCACCCCCTAATGTCAGCAAGCCGCCTATAGAGTCAGCCTCCTGCTGTATATCACTCAACCGCTTCTTGCTATCACCGCCCACTTCGTTGTCACGCTCAAATAGCTTGAGCTTGACCTGTACTTCAAACGGAATCTGTACGTAATCACCTTCTCTGCGTAGATGCAGTGTTGGCAAGGCGCCGGGGTGTTTCCTAACCGCCCCCGTGGAGTCAATGTATTTGAACTCCTCTTCGAAATGCCGGCTGCACATGTACAGCGTCTTCTTGGCCCAGTGCTCCTCCTTGACCTGTTCACTGGTCTTAAGAAGCTTATTTCTGCGGTACTTGGGATTGAATGTGCGATAGCAACGTACCATCCACTCCTCACGTTGCACCTGTCGCTCTGGTCCGCGTGCATCACTAGTAACCTTGGGGAACATCCAGTAGGTGACCCCATCCCTCTCACGGGTGGCGCTCTCGCAGCTGGCCACCTGGCATACCTTCACACCCATCGCCGTGGTATCGTTGTTTGGTTAGAGGCTTATGTAAGTACAAAACTACAGTAAGTGTACCCACTAGTTGTGTGAACTGTAGACCGAGTGTCTGTGACTGTCTACAATATTACCACCTTGGCAGGCCATTTTACCCCTCTGACCCTCCCTATGGTATTTTCGGAGTAAAATATATAAATATATTGTGATGACTACCCATATAGGCCAAAACCCACCCCGCTATTTATTTCTGAAAATTAATCTGTATATAGAAACTCAGTCTTGGATCAAGAGTTCAGGCTGCAGGGAGTGTGACAGACTGTGAGGCGTGAGCAGTGTAGAGTGTGAAGTTGACAAGTTGTGGAGTGTGGGCCAGTGGCCACTGTGTAGTGGGCGGGGGCTGTGCGACAGCTCTGTGGTCCCTTTGTAAGTTTCAAAAAATAAGTTAAATGTAAACGTGTATTTTTTTGGTGTGCGTTCAAAGACAGTTTTATAACGTTCAATATCAACTTATCCGTTAAAAAATATAACTTGTTGAACTGCTTCAAGTCTTCCACAACCCTGACTATTTTAAATTTGAGAGAGGCTCCTGAGTCCTGGCTTCCGAAAGTTCCTCGTTCCTCACTTCCTCTCCCCAGTCTCTGGGGTTTTAGAGTTTAATCTATTTATACTCTTTCTTTTAATAAAAATATATAAAAAGGGGTCTTTTCGAGTTTATGGTGCACAGGACAGCACTGAGCACAGCCCACTGAGCCCAGACCCCAGGCCCCAGTACAAGCAGCAAGCGGCAAATGAACCTGGAACGGTGGAACCATGTCCTTCCCTGGGGCCCGGGGTATTTCCAATTTTACATACAGTCATGGACAAACCCTTTTTTTGAATGATTTTCTATAAATAAAAATGCTGATGAGAACAACAGTAAAATTCTACTAACTTTTTGGGGTGGACATTATTTGAAATCTCGATTTTGTTCAAATTGTCGGTTAATAATCTGGGGAATTTGGATCACTAAATCAGTCATAGCTCTGAAACCAAAAGGTGAAATCCCACAAACAAAAAACTAAAACTAAAATTTGAAAGCTATGGGCCTATGGCTGACACAACAAGGCATTTCGATCGGCAATTCGGCACCCTTTAATTTTTTTAGTAAAAATACCTCTCGTATCTATATATTTATTTTTTTAACATTTACTGGTACAGTCACATCTGTACTGTGCATTTACATGCATATTTCTCCTATTTTTTTAATCCCACTGTCCGGCGGGTGTCAGCCTGTCTTGACACTGTGCAGTGTGCACCTTTGTTTGTAAATATGCACAGTATGTACATAAATATTTTACTTTTTTTTTGCGTATTTTTTTCAGAATCAGTGGATGGGAGCGATAGTCGGTACTAAACTTTTACCATGCTTTGGGTGACGCTTTCAATGAGATGTGAATCGAGATGCCACTTCTTCCATCCTCTTGGCTTCTTATCTATCAGCAGGGTGTGGATGGTGCTGAGTGTCGCGGCATGTTTGCGTTTGCATGGAGTGATGCATTTCAAATCCAAGAGATTAAGCATCATTTGGATCGCATATATATGTACTGTACTTAGTGTTATACAAATACATATACCTTTTTGTGGCGTTATACATTGAAAATACAGTTGCACAACAACACTTAATTCCTTAGTGCGAATTTGGTTTACCTCTGCGTCTATCTGACCACTGCGAAATTGCCATTCGAGCACACTGCATTTAAGCCCTGCTCACGCAACAAATCCGCAAATGCTTTGGTAAAAACTTATCTACAAATATGCATTCGCATCTATATTATAAAGTTACATGGGTTTCTGCACGATAATTATGTTTAAATGTCTCCTGCAGCGCCTCAGGTTAACTTGTATGAGATATATGTGGCCTATTTAGCAGCGTGAATCAGTTCGCTTGTGGTCAATTGGTAACCTGCGTGGAAGGCTTCATCGTGCTGTGATTGAAGTCCTTCATAGAGTAGCTTTCGATACTTTTCGAATACATAAGAGACACCCTGAATATTACGATCTAACTTGATCGACATCGGTTGCACAGCGAGCGTGCTCGTAGTTAGTTGTCTGCAGCGTTTATAAGCACATGATCGGGCCTTTAAGAGCTTTCACGGGATAGTGCTGGTGAAAGCTCGCCCTTCTCCGTGCAGAGAGCAAGTCTCTTGCTTGAAGCTCCATGGCAAGCCAACTTCGGAACTATGATTATAAATTGCATGTATACTATGCTTGATCGTGGGTTGTCTCGCTACAGTAACAGTAGGCCCCGAGTTAGATATTGCGCTCCTGGTACGGACACTCAGTGAACAATGCGAGTGGATCACACTGACTAGCAATATCTCGGCAGGCAGCCAAGTGGTCGGCAATCACTCAAGTACTCACGACACGCCGCAGTTACCGTGTGTGTTATATGATAATAATTCGAAGCATGCAAGTGTCTGCACACGTTCAAAGTCCAGTCGTCCGCCGCAGCGCACCTTTCCAATCCGGCCAAGGTACTGCACTGATACGGACGCGACTAGCCAAACAACGACACTTACTCACTACACCGGGCATTGGGTAATGTACAGCACCTGCCCGTCAAATACGGCGTCAACCGTTATAGCTGGTGTGTGTCGCGGTTCGTAGTTCTGAGTAGAAATTGCGCTGTGCGGAAGATGGACTACGACTCTACGGGTCTAAAGTTAGTTGCCTTGGCCCCCCATAGGCCCAGGAGCGAAGCTGGCAACACCCCTTACGCATGCACGCTAAGTGGTGTACTTGTTTTATATGCCGTACATACGGATATGAGTACAAGCCGGTCATGCCCTGATGTTGTCAGGTATGCATGTATGGAGATGCGCACCTAGCCCAGGCTGGAAGATAGAAGGATCCGGAACTAACCGACCACGTGCGTACTGTGGAACCTCAATCGTTGTACATCCCTAGAAGTGTAGTCTCCATCTACCGCCATAGTATATGCGACAACAATCTGAGCTCGCTACTGTCGATACTGAGAAAGACTCTGCCTATACACTTGATCAAAGTGAGATTCATTCTGCACACCCCTCAGAACTGACTCGCTCAGTCCAGCGTTGTGCACTTTGACCATAATATCCCGGTGCACACATGCCACCACCCCCCAAGTAGGTATATGTTGAACCCTAAACCCAGGTACTCGGCCCTGGCACCCCGGGATTATACTAGGCTGTCCTGGGGACTCAGTGCTGTGGACAGGCGAGGTGCGCTTCAATACCCGTCGTATCTCATTGAGCCGATTGTGTCCTCGAAAATGGACGCCGGGGTAGCCCAGTTCGTTCCGCCAATCAGAACCTGTTTTGTGACGAAGTTGTCGGTAATCGAGAATAAGTCACAAGGTAGGTATAAAGAAACGAGAAAACAGTTCCACCACCTTAGGCGCGTAACAGCTCAACGTTTTGGGGCTTGAGGCTTGTCTAGAGGACAACATGCAGCTACAACATCGTACCAGCTCGTCATTCGTGAGGACGACACCTGGGTATTGCATTCGTGTGTCGCGCATACCTCCATGCATCACGCGTGCGACAAGGGCTAAGCAAGTGTACGACAAAAGCTAAGCAAGTGTACGACAAGGGTTCAGCGAGTGTACGACAAAGGCTCAATAGGTGTACGATAAGAACTAAGCAATTGTACGACAAGGACTAAGCAAGTGTACGACAAAGGCTGAGCAGCTGTACGATAAGAGCTAAGCAAGTGTACGACAAGGATTCAGCAGGTGTACGGCAAGGAATAAGCGAGCGTGGCATCAAGCATACGCCTCCACACGCACATCGAGCGCGCTTCCAATGAACACCATTGAGATATTCTGCCTATGTACAAAAATAAAAATATATATCTCGCGTGATATGTAAGCTGCGACCTTCTTGTGATATTTACCTTGAAGCCTTCAAACTTATCCACAATGTCTCGGATGTATCGCATCTCAGACGCGGATATGCCCCCAATGACGAAGAGGATGATGTACTTGTGGTCTGTTGGACGGGCTGATGCCTGGTACATTTTCCTGTACACACAAGGGGTTATAGAATCGTGCACTTAATTTGTGGGTGTTGGGCTAGATTGTAATATCCTGTATTGATTGAACTTGAGTAGCACCTGAGCCGAGTGCACTCAATGGAGCAATACGCCATTGTCCGCACTGATTGGCTGTTTGAAGGGTTGGCTCTTATTGGTAGGGACTGATTGGCTGGTTTGGGGGTTGGTTCTTATTGGTAGGGACTGCTTAATGGTTAGCATCCGTGTCAGTCAGTCAGTGCGGTGGACTGCTCTACTCACAGCTACCGCAACTTAACCTTGCAGAGCAATAGCTGCCTGTGATACTTCTACGCTGATAACCGTAGACTCGATCGACCGCTACACTTGTTTCCCACTACAGGCGGGTTAGCGAATGTGATACTCATGCCCCAATTACACACTACGCGGATAGCTTGCCTAAGTGAGGACATGATACCCTATTAAATCAATGTTAGACCAACAGTACACCACCCGTGGTATGCAAGGGCTACCGACATAATGTCTGCTGCAATATCCAACACAGTACGTGCGACTCCATCGGCCAATTCAATACCTGTGCAATAAGCCACAGACCAAAGACACTTGCAATCAGAGCTGACACTCCCAGACAACGAGTACACTACCCGTCTACTTACACAAAGCCGGTGAGCAGTTTCTTTCGAAAGCCTGCCTGCTGATGCAGTTGCAAATCTGGGATGTCCACCTGATCCTCGAACATGGCCTCGAACAGATGCGCCAGCAGCGGCCGATAGGGCAGCTGCGTGTATCGGCTGACATCGAGCGAGAACACGTGCCTGTGTGTGTAAGGACGAGTATCCATTAAACGATTGTGAGAGACCTGTCATGTGGCAAGCCTATGGACCGGTCTCTACGGCTGATGTATTAGTATTCAGTACAGTATGGCGTACTGTCGCCACTGTGGTCTTATACGGCTCGGCTCAAAGCACAAGAGAAGTGTTAGAATAGAATGTAGTACATACACTATAGCAATCTGTCGCGGCTCGTACCGGCATGTGCCTCCAGCTGTGCTTGCACAATAACATTCAAAGTCAAAGTATCGCTCGGTGACTCAGACTTACTGTAGCATTGAAAGATTCGCTCGCCCGTTGGCAATGCCCCAGACGCGCTTTAGACACACAGAGAGCCACTCCTTTGCCATTGCCTCGGTGATCTGTCCGTGGTACGCTGCGCCTGATGCTTTGGCTGAAGCGGATGAGACCATGGAACGGAATGGAGAGATGCACGGTTTAAAATTCATGGAAGCGGTTAAATAACGTATTGTCGCAAACAAAAAAAAGAAGAGTGAGAACGTTCGGATACTGATATCTGGCTGAAATGTTGGGTTGGAGAAGCGAGCCTGGTAAATACCAGAGGGTGGCACGAGTGTGGGGAGACAAAGAACGTCTGCGAACCTCGCGCGGGCCTTATTTGCGATTCATTTGAATAAGCGAGAGTACACCGGAATATTTCAGATCCAATTATGCCATGTAATAGAATGTATGTATGTGCCTAGGTACATACACATAGAACAGTTCGAATTATTCATGTTATAGTATGTATGTATATACCTAGGTATATATATATATATATAAAGAGATATGTGCAGGTATATATACACATAGAATGGGCTGCCTTACAGTGTGTATTTGGTTTTATGCACTGAGAGTACGAAAGGTATATCAGCGCTACCTACCACGCTCGGCGATCTTCTGCGTCAGCCACACACTTGTCGCACAGCCCCGCGCGTTGCGGCTATCAGGTGCAGTAACATGACTCATCACCACGGGCAAGAGTGTTGCGGCAAATAGTTTCTCCTCAGTTGTGGATGTGATGCACTCTGGCCCAAGTACCGAGGCACCCAGGATACAGCACAGCAGCACCTCCTGGAGGGAAAGGGGCGGTAGTGTGTGTATCAGTCTATTGTCGAGTGAGTGGGTTGGTACAGTACGTGGGTGGGTGTGTATGCGACTGGGTGGCATGTCAAGGGTGTTCGTATACCTGTGAGTGTGTCTGAGTAGAACATACATTGTATTAGTATATGCGCTGACACGGCAATAGCCCATGCGTTGATGTTGCCGTCAGTGCAATTGCGTGCAGGTGTATATAAGAGGCGGTGAAATTGAATGTGAACGTGTGCTCAAGTCGTTAAGATGGAGAGGGAGAGTGTCGGAGCTCATACCATTTGCGAGCCAATTCACATCCATCGGGTTGCAATTGCGGTGTGGTCACAGGGATTGGCCCCAACATACGATGCTACTTAAAACTAGTTCACATGTGCCTTATGGTCACTAGGGAGTGCACACGTGTGATGGCATGTACAGGCTATAACATATATGAACTAACTAGCTCGTAGACGTTATCTTGTACGCGTGCTGTGTTCACGGGAGATGCACCGACAACCTCTCTACATGCAGTGTTACCGACCACCACTACAACCCGTGCAACAGTACACACCTTAGATACTCAACATTGCAAACAAACGCCAACGCACCTCAGCAATACGGCTCTGTAGGCTACACTAGCCTACTAGTATGTTCACCTTGGTCAGACACCTAGCCTCCGTCGTGTGCGAAGAGAGGGGCACGCATCGCACATGTAGAACAACACCACTGCGCAATCTACGTCTAACCGATCACTGTGGCTGTATACGCCCAGATGCTTATCACCACGCTTTGTTAGTTCACTGTCACCGCCTCAGCCATTTGTGCGAACAGGAACGGGCTATAGACAGTCTGCATACCCATACCACACATGCAAGATACTACGTGCGTGCATGTCCATGCATCATAACCAGAACGAATCCATAAACCCATCTATACATAATGATTTGCTGTCCTCTCTTGAGATATATGTGCGCAGGGGCGAGTGCCTATTCCCAGGCTGCATGCCCATACCACATACGCAACGCACTGTGTGCCTGCGTGTATAGCAACAAATGGAGGCCTTACAACCACTCACCTCCACACTGAGCCTATTTGCAGCCACCACCTGAGTCATATGCGCGTACAACGAATGACTATCACCCGGCTGCAAGCCAGAGAGAAGCACCTCCTTAGCAACCGCTACGAACGCCTCTGAACTACCTACAGCGTTTTGCTGAAATATATGTGGTGGATTGATACCCGTGTCTGTTGCCTTGGCAAACCCCGTTTTGGGTGCTCCGGATTTGGGCGCGGTGAGGCTTTCGACCACCGCGAGAGTGAGTGAGATCAACCCGTAGTGCTGTGGCAAGAAATGTGAACAAAAACCATTGACGAAAATGTAAAGAAATGTGAACAAAAACTATTGACGAAAATGTAAAGAAATGTGAACAATAACCATTGACGAAAATGTAGGGACATCTTTAACGGATAAGGCGCCAAATGACTGCGAGATATGACGTCGGGCGGAGAATCCATCTCACCTTCGCTATGGCTGTCATGCCGCCCTGTTGGAATGACTTCAGAAGGGACTGCAGGTGTGTGTGTGTCACCTTACTCGGCGCCACTCCTCGTTTGTGGGGCAATTTTGCTGCGGCTATAGTCTGTATCAGGGTCTGTTAGGAGGCGCAGTACTGTGTCAGATAACTTGACAAGGTGACGGCACTTCTAGGTCTGCCCAATCCTCGGTCACTGCATTGTGAAGTACTATACTGCACTCCACCGTGAAAGACTTGCTAGGTACCTAGAGTTGAAATGAAAGGCAATGCATCTACGGCTATAGTCTGTATCAGGGAATGTTAGGAGGTGCAGCACTATGTCAGATAACTTGATAAGGTGACAGCACATCTAGGTTTGCCCAATCCTCGGTCACTACATTGTGAAGTACTATACTGCACTCCTGAGTAAAGACTTCCCGTGTACCAAAGAGTGAGATTCAGAGGGAATTTATCGGCGGCTATAGCCGGTATCAAGGTCTATTAGTAGGTATGCTTGTGTCAGATAATGCGATAGTACTTCAGGTCAGTCCGATACCTGTCACCACACGCTAAGCTCGATAATGCAGTCAAAATCGATAGAGTCATTCCATACTACGCGCTCAAATAAGAGGCAATTCTTATGTGGCTATATCCTGTATCAGGGTCTATTAGTAGCTACAACACGATGTGAGTCAATCTAATAACATTTTCGGATCTGCCCTTTACTCCAACATGATACTTTTATATGTAATACTACACTCCGAACAACACCGTACATCTCTACAAACAGAGTCGGAACCAACGGTAGCTTCGTTGAGGCAAACAACTATATCAACGTATGATAACAGGTACATCAATGCGTCAGGACCAGTGCATATGTATTAAACATATACAACTGCGATTCCATGCAGCGATGTGTTCACTCACTGAGATGTCCAAATAATTTCAAACAGGCTACCACGCTCATGTATATACATTGCATTTCTTCTTCGCAGACACATATATTTCGCAGACTGAGTGAATATATTCTGCACACTGAGTACATACATTCCGTAGACTGGCAAGCGCCTGTCGACTGCGCAAGTACACCAAATCACTCAGCGCATCGCGCACCACGCTGTCGCTGTTGTGGGCAATGCTGCCTGTGATGGCACTCTCACTCGGTCGTAGATGCGCTTCTGAGTACATCACAACCAATGAATACGATAAATGTTCACTCGCATGAGATCACTCGTTCTTGTCCTATCCTGCTTGGTGTTAGTCAGACGGTGAGCCGCGAGCCTGTGCTATGACGCCCGACATACTACTCGTATTTAATCGCATCGATACTAAAGAGTGACGTGATGGGGACCACAAGCGTTTGGGTGAAAGACGGGCATACTGATGCGCGCGGGGATAGACTCCAACCATCACATGAACCAAGAGATCAGCACATCCAATCACATCACAGCCAAGACGAGGGATATGTGGCTCAGACACCATGGCCAACGGCACGCGTGTGATAGTCTGGTCCAAGAAACCGGATTGGATTCCGCACGAAAGCCGAAACTCGGAACGACACGGCGCCAAAAGTGGACGTGCGCAAAACGTGACAACTTGCGCTATTACTCGTCAGATAGAAATATATCAGAGAATTAAGATTACCGACACCACGAGACTAAGACTCCCGACACTACGAGTATGTAGGTTGTACTGTACTAGTTGTATCTCCGATTATCCAGCTCAAACGGTATGCAATTACTCTCCCGTTGGATCGGAGTGATGCAAAGCAGACAGTTCCCACTGATTATGGCTATGGCATGTCATAGTCGCACTTACCTTTGTCGTCATCATTGTCTGGTGTGGGTGATAGAGAGGTCTTCTCCACACCCAATGCGGGAGAGATGTCCACAGCCACATCCAGAGACGAAGTACAGTCTTTACCTGTGATATTCTGTTGGATGGTAATTTGTTTCTCGTTAGAACGGTTTAAAAACCAATCGATTTTGCGTCAAAGTTAAACGTTTGGGCTACAATAGTACTTTCGTGGTTGAATTTCAACTGGGTGTATTTAATTCTTGAAAGCGAGCGGTTTGTCCTTTTTACGTTAAAACGTATGCAATTTGCTCATTTCTGCGTTTACGTTCAACGCTTACTACACCTGATGAGTTGCGTACCGTGTTTATACGTTTGTACACTTGCACGTCCTATGTACCGAACGTTTTCCGGTTGTCTACGAATACGTATGTGCCGTTGCATCGGGTTCGAATGCCCTGACATGTGACGACATCAGATCACAAGCAGTCATCACACTTCTAACTACAGCCGCAGGCTACAGCTGCCTCATGGTTGTAAGCTACATGCTGATGGTCTATTGATAGTCGCCCAGAGAATCAACTGGATCTGCTCACGTCATGGTCTATTAATAGCCGCCCAGAGATTCAACTGGATCTGATCACGTCATGGTCTTTTAATAGCCGCCCAGAGATTCAACTGGATCTGATCACGTCATGGTCTATTAATAGCCGAGCCCAGTTGTAGCAATGCGCCTATCAGTCAATGCGAGAAAGTATATATATATGTAGTCCACTCAACCTACGCCTTAAGCCAAAAGCATAGCCTATGTCTCACCTGAAGTACAGTGTGTGTGTGTGTGCTGCCGAGGTATATGCTATGCCATCGCAATGACAAAGGGAGGTACGACCTGGAAGTGATTGACACATACAGAACACGCCAGCAGCGAACTAATGCATACACAACACCAACACATAGGCACACACACACAGGTCTTACAGTGACAACAGTCATGCTACACTGCCACATACTGATGCAACTTAGAGGCTATCTGCATCGAACTAGTGTTCAGCAGGCTGTGCTCATTCCCAACTTGTGTCTGTTATATATCAGCAGGAACGGGCGAGTGAAGGAGAGGTCGCCGCACATATAATCCACACTACATTTCAGAACACCTCCAATCGCATAACCAACACAGACCATCCAAGACACATGACACATTGAAAGCCAGGCCACCTGGTCACATGTACACAGCCATCACACACCGAAAGA